CTCGAGAAATAAAACAAAACAAAAAACAAAAAAAACAGAGAGATGCTTGGTTCTACCCAAGTAGAAACCTCAAACCGAAAAGAAACCACCAGAAATCGCGTATAGGGCTAATTCCCTCACTCCCTGAGCACGACCCCCACTTCGGCTCAAACAGGACTGCAGGCTCGAGTCCCCGGTAAGGCAACCGAAGCGCTACAGGAAGGCGCCGGGTGTTTCAAGACCTGGTCGCAACTGGGCCTTGAAAGGGCTCCGTATACTATACACCTGAACATTGCCTTGTAAATGATGGGTTCACCGTATTTTGGTGGAAAAAGCCATGTTTCAAATGGGCAACATGTATCTCTTAAGGAGCCCTGCTAGAGAAAGGCAGTTCGACAAAAGAGATGAAGAAACAAATTTGGAACGCAACAAGCTCATTTACGGAGATCTGAATTCCGGAGACCTTGGTGGCTTCTATTTCAATGCAAGTGAGTTGTTTGATAACTCTCCTTCTATCCGTAGCTTGGCCCCAGACAGAACGGTACCTTTGACCGTCCACGGTCATGCTGATGGCTTGTCCCACCGTCCTCGCAATGCGGTCAGCGCCTCTCGTGTGATCCCACCAGAAGGGTGTTGTCGGACCTCCAAGGGCTCCACACACGTATTTTTCCCCGACAACTCAATATATCATGACATTCGAAAGTCAGATGTGCATGTAAGATGTACATGTATCTATCATGTATCATGTACCTGCTCATTCATTGCGATTAAGACGACTGCAGTGCTTTTATGCCCAGGGACAGGGGACGACTGTTTGAGCGAGGACCGAGGTGGTCAAATAGCACGCAGACCAGGCAACAACATGGAGGGGAGTGATGACCATGGGGAAGGGACCATAGCCTTTGTGATTGGCTAAGCTTCCTTTCGAAGAAATGGCCACCAAAGGTGTCAGAACCTCAAGATTAAAAGAGCCATGGCTTATGGCTGGCGATGTGCGATTAATCGACCAGCTTGGACCAGTGACAAAAAACTTCGGCCTGTCGCATGCCAATGTGTTGCCATCGGTAGGTTTCTAGGCAAATGCAGCGCCCCATCCGATTTGTGCGACCGATTCAGATTATGCCACGCTAAGCCAATGACAAGCGACACAGGCTGACCTAGACTGTGCAGTGTAAATGTTCAGTCACTGCCTGATATTTGCCATTACATTCCCAGGCCTACACAGGAGTCGCAATGCAGCCTGCAAAGGGGCTATATACAAAGGGCAAGCAAAAAGAAGAAACTCGGCCCAACATGAGTCTGAATCTTCATTGGGGACCACTCGGTGGACGTCACTTTGCTAGCGAAAGCCCCGTCTCGGGTCCTGCCGTGGCAAGCGAGCGCGCGGTTCTCATATAGGAGCTTCCCGTTCACTGCCTCCAAACGACCCGTGCTTGCTAAATGGAAGTAAAATACCTAGCAGTACTTCCATTCGCTGAAGCTAATCTCCAAGGAAAAAACACAACATATTTCCCGCAGTGATAGATTCCCTTTAAAACCAACTATAACACATATTCATTTCAGCAAATGGAAGACTACTTCGAGCTATCCTTAGAGTTCCTGGGAGCCTTTAGGAGCCGCTTGGCTCGGCTTGCGAAGCGAAATCCGGGTGTTCTGACATGTTGACATCCGATGCTTTTCCATTCGGCCCTCGAAAGTACTCCGGTAACTTGTGGTCGCCCAGGAAAGAATGCAATCCGCTGTGTTGCATAAGTTGGCATTGACAACTTCGTCTCCGGTGCTTGCTGTGAAAGAAGCCGGAGCTTCTACACGAGTATTCTCACTTTGTAAATCATTCACTCATAGCCTCTCCACAATCAACTGCAATGGCGCAAACGCGCCTTAAAATGGCCATCCTCTTGGAGGCAGTTTCTGGGGTGCATCCCTTTTACTTCCGCTTTGTCCCCTGTACTTGGTTGACGTTGGAAGGGGAGCAAAAATTCAAATCTTAGCAGTTAAGTGGGGTTTTCCACTAAACCACAATAAGCAAAGATGGGAAAATTGTTTCCCAACAACAGCCATGTGAGGCATAATCAAAACCCGGTACAAAAATGGTGCCCCCAGAACCATGTAAAGAACTAAGAAGGCGGATCTCCGCAGCTATTTATGGCAAGGGGATCGCCCCTTGCTAACCTTCATCTACCCAGGTTTTGAGCATGTGGCTCATGTGTACACCATGTTAAGAGGTTAGAATAAGTTGGTACCAACTCAACCATTTCTTCCAAAACAAAGTGGGATTTCAACCACTAAACCACAATAAGCAAAAATGGGAAACATGTTTCCCAACAACAACCACAATGTACCTTTGGGGCAAGGCGAATGCAGAGCGGCCTTGCCCGTGGCCCGCAGAAGGGCAGTGTGGTCCAGAGACGTCCTTCGCCCCAGCACCTGCCGAGCGAACGACCGAGCGGAGACCGAGCGAACGTCCTAATCCGCGTCTTCGGAGTCCAACCGTTTGAAGTCTGATTTTGGAAAACCGGAAAGCTGGAAAGCTTGGTTTTTGAGATTTTGGAAATGCGGTCTGATTTTGGATAATTCCCAAGCCGGAAATTATGAGAACCGCTCAAAGGACCCTAGGTCAGCTCGAGATACCCAAGCTCATGATGATTCGCCCAAATAGCTTATTGTGGTCTCAATCAGTGCATGACTGCCCAGTAAAATCTGCACAACTTGCTGTGTGGTGATCTTGTGCTTGGCAAGTATGAGGTCTTCGTTTGTTTGTGCCGTACAAACCAATGTGTTCGCATACTAATTACATTGACCACATGGTGGGCGGCAGGCAAGCACACAGAGACTTCGACCGATGTCGAATGTCGCAGCCCTCGTCTTCGAGCAGTTGCCAAACCGTGCTGAAACAGGAGCGCGGGCTTTGTCTGTGATCGCTTGTCTTGAGGCGTAAATTGGGTGCAGGGGGGAAGCATGTGTGAGAAATCCTGTTTGAGGTTCATACGGCAGCTCTTGAAGCTTCAAGTCTAAATCAATAGCCGGGCTGGTCCGAAACGTTCCATCGGAACAATCGTCAGCTGCAACTTGGGAAGTTGGATGACTAGCAAATGGCAAGCAGTTTCTTTTGTTTTACCGCCTTAAGGCGAATCGAGCTTTTGACAGCTTCGACCCGGCATCAGAAGCGATAGGCTTGGGTCCGGATTCCGGTCGGAGGCCAGTGCCATACTGTGCCAGTGGCCTGCATAAAGGCATGCACCTTCCAGATAAGAAATGCCGGTAGCTTCCTACATTTTCTCGCAAGAAAGAACATCCAAACGCCAGGTCGTTCAAGTTTCTGGTAGCCAAATAACCTATCTTCTTTAGACCATGGCTAATTTGAACAGTATTCCGCCTGCCACTCAAATATGGCCCCCAATTCTCGACATGGCTCCTGAAAAAAGGTCAGCAAAACCAGCAATCTCTAGAAAATATGTCAGGTAAAAGCAGCGACGTCATGCGGCTCATGAAGGCAGCAATGCGACTCTGGCCGCCACACACACGCACCTGATTCCATGTTCTGATTGGTTTGCTGGTTCTTTCGTGGGATTGAGTCACCCGATAGTCACGTACGTTTGTTCTTGTGCGGGCAGTGTCCATTGGCTAAATGCAGCTTTGAGCCGCGTCACGATTGAACTGACCAAATCAGGAAGCTTGGGTATGTGTCAATTTGTCCTGGGGGAACGCCGCCTGACGGCCGCTGGATCCGATGCAATACACTTCCGATGGCCTAGATCGTGCATGAAGGGGCTTAAATCAGGAAGCTCGGGTTTGTATCAATTGGGGAACCCGCCTGACGGCCGGTGGATCCGATTTCACACTTTTCAGGGTGCCGCCCCGGGCCCCGCGCCTTGCCCTTGCCCTGCACCATCTTCACCTTTTTGGCCATTGCTCCCGCGAGCCGGGCCGCCGCAATTCTCAGGAGCCAGCTGCGGCGATCGCGACTGAGTTGGATTCAGAGATGAAATTCCGTGCCTCACTGCACGGACATCCCGAAATAGATCCCACGATCTATGCTACCCCATGATGCCTGGCTTGGTTTAGGTTCTTTTCAAGTTTTGGAAAGAGTACTGTCCCCTGGACAAAAAAGAGCACAGTAGTGATAGATTTATTTAAAACCAGAAAAAAAGAAATGTATTCTTAAGCAAATGGAGTATGTGACGCACACCGCCAAGGACAACAATTTTTGCTCTATGAGCATTTGACTTCTAGATCCACCTGGTTCCAGGTTCACCTTTCGCCTATCCTCTCAGAGCCTCAGAGCCGTGGCGCTAATCATTCGTTTGACTCCAAACGACCTGGTCTACTCCAAAAGTCGTTTGAACCTGGAATAGTCCAAAGGTCGTTTGGGAAGCACCTGGTCTATTCCAGGTTCCATGGAGATCCAGGTGCTTCCAGGTGCTACCTGGTCTATGCATTTGGAATGCAACTTAGGCCCGGTGGATTAGACAATCTGGACAAAACACACAGACACACATCCCGTGGCTTCATCCCTTGGTCAGCAATCAACCGCAAAAAAAAGGTTGGGAATCTGCATACGTGAATCATTACCGAACCGCTGGACATCGATACAAATTCGATGAGAACTTGGTATTCAACAAAAAGCTTTGCATCTCTGCCCGTATTCGACCTCAAATGAGCCAGTGGGCCACGGACAGCTGAGAATGTGACGAAATGGGTGGACATCCAAAGGAAGGTAGGCGTTCTAAAAAACCCAAATGTAATCAATTTCTCGGCGTGCATCGATTCGTTCCATGCGTACTTGAGGCGACTTTGCAGACTCAAAGCTTCAACCTCGGTCTGACGCGACAAGCTCTGATGGGTATGATATGATTGACTTGAGGAATCCAACCTACAAGAGCATGCCTGAAACTTGAGAACACACCACAACTCATTTACCTACATGCACATACGCACACAAATATTCAAGCCCTTGCCCAAACCCAAGTACCAACAACGAACTGATTCGCAAATGTAGCAATTTGCTTGATCAGTCGTGCCTGGCTGATGGTGTCCCGAGATCGTGCCTTGCGGCCTGCATTGCTCGAAGGACTTGGCATTCCCCCCTCATAGGCCTACAGAGTTGGGTTGCATACGTGTTCCAGGACTGACGAGGAGAACTTTGAGGTCTCAAAACGACTCTGACTCGGGTTACTCCCGTGCAAGAAATACCGGTGGTTGATGGGATTACCAAGCCACCCAGCATCAGTAGAGACGGCAGCCGGGCAGCAGCAGCAGCCGAAGGGCATGCAAAGAATGTTGTGACATCAAAGACAAAGAGTTGAAATATCCCGAAGAGAACAGAAAGGCATCAGCTTCCACATGCGTCAGCTGTCTTGCTCAGTCGCTTTGCCAGGTCCAGCTGAGACCCCATTCCGTCAAACGGCGTAGCGCAGCCATATAGCTGACTATGTTGATTGCGCACTCAGAAGGCGCCACAGCATTCCTAGACCTTTAGGAGCCCCCTAGCTACATGACTCAAACAGAACCCAAAACCCATGCGTGCCACTGTCTCTCTCGAGGCCCGGTTCTGATGGCGAACTCGTGTCAAATCACAAGCATGTTGAGCCTTAATTTGGATTGTCGTCTTCTTGAGCTTGTCTCAAAATGGGATGGGTTTCCTTTGGTCTCCCACGACCACAGCACCCTCAACAAACACGCCGGCCTAAGTGACCGCCAACCCCGTATAAGGCGTTTCCCAGCACCAAACCGCTGAATTTGTGTACAACACACAACTACATATGATATATGCCACTCGAGTCCTGGCTACTTTTCAAACCTGAGCTGTTCTCATTGCGGCGATCATAGATGAGCGAGAGGGCAAGCCTGAAGACATCGTGCAATGTCCGGTCGAGACCGCCCCAAGCGCGCCAGGTTCGTTTCAGGTCGACTTGTGATGGACTCACCAAGCTGGCCCAGAATAGATTTCTTTCCACAAGGTTTGAGTCGCGTCATTGTCTTGGAGGCCTTTTTTGTCTCCGGATCCAAGTCCGGGTCACACTTCCGTCGAATCAACAAGTTTCAAGTTCCTCACGGTGTACACTGGGCAGCTCTCAGATCCTCTTAAAAAAAGTGACATAGCTTGTGGGTGAAATTCGGAAACCCCCACAAGCTAAACCAACCAAAAAGATCTAAACACCTCAGGAACCACACGGGAATCGTTCCCGCCTGTCTCCGCGTACTGCGGGGCCTGCGGAGATCTCCCTTTACGCCAACCAAACCCAGCTGAGCAAACGGCATCTTGCTGTTTAAAACCGGAGAAACGGGGGGAAATATTTGGGAAGCCTGATATATACAGCCCACCTTGACACATAGGCCAGGAAGCTCTGAATCGCGTGGCCAAAGGAAAGCCTTCGTTCAGGCGTGCAGAACCCCTCGTTTCTCACCTGAGTCACAATCAAAACCCAGTTTAAAAATGGTACCCGGAACCCCATGCAAAGGCCGCACCCGTTTTATGGCCGGGTTTTGATCCAGCGCGTTTGCCATACGGGAAAATCCGATCGCACAGAACGCAGACATGTCGGACACGTGAGATCACGTCAAACACACGTCTTGACCTTGACTCATAGCTGGCCGAAAATGACCTTGTTTCAGCGAGTAGATTCAGCTGAAAGGAAAGTCACACACACACACAAAACAGCCTAAGAATTGATAACATACGATTGGCATGGACACAGTTTAGTCTTGTGGATATAACATTTTTCCAAATTAGACATTCTAGGTCCGTCCGATTTGAGAGGTTAGAATAAGGGTACCCTGTTTTTCTGTAGTCTATTTTAGTAGAGGAACCCTCCACCAAAAAATGAGAGAGAAGGGTTCGGGGACCTAGTATTTAGTCACCTTTTTTTCTCTTTTGTTGGAGTGGGAAAACTGGGAGCCTGGGAACTTGCCGAAAGCCGAAACCTGATGGTTGAACCGAGAACGGTCTGGCGGCCAAACAAGCCCAAGGGCAGACAAGTTGGGAATTGCGAGACTAGCAATTTCAAGGGCTAAGTAATTAATTTGAATCTTTCTGTGGTCCTTGTAAACCAAGGCAAGTCATGGGTGGAAAGTAATGCGTGAACATATGTAGCCCTTTATGATATACGGCAAGGCAAGGCCACATTGTTCAGTCACAAAAGTCCAACAGCTGTGGCTGCGCGCCGGACAATGTTTCTCCGCGTCTCCAATCCTTCGTTTCGCATCGGCAGCCACCACCACACCATCAACTCATTTGGCCATGGGTCAAAATCCCGGTTAGCCCCCAGTGAAGATCCCAATCCCCACTAAAATAAAGACTACATTGGGTGGTGAATTCACCTGCCAACCAAAATGATCCCAAAACGGTTTTGACTGGCCCATCGACTCATTTGCCGACCTCTGAGCCTCCCGTGGTTTTGTTTTTTGGGCGTCGCTCCGCGCCTCGGAAGCTGGCACCTCGATCTCTTGCCCATAGACCAAGTCTTGGTTCAGCCCCTCCTGCAAAGCGAAGAACCCTGGCCCAGCTTCTTTTTTTGTCCGAAACAACCGTCGCGCCGAGGAATTTGTTGTGAAGAGACGTGAGAAACATTGTTTGGGGGAAAGGGAATTGTCGCCATGAAAATGGTGCGAACAATAGGTTCAACCACTATCCAAGTCAGACTCAGTCAGACAGCTGAATGCTCAAGAACATCAAGGGAACAAACAAACAAAGACATTTAGGTATCCGTCAGCGTGACCACTGATGGAGCTTTATTGTCAAGTGTTTCATGATGTGTCAAACAGCTGGATTCGCCCAGTCATAGCTAGCCAGCTAGCCAAAACAAACTTTCGAACACGCTGCTTCGTAGGCGGACCTTGTCCTAACTCCACTCATCACAAAGCATGGCTGTGACCATCGCTACGCGGCAAGCAACCATTCCCTGTATTTCCCACCATCTCTCGGACGGAGTTTGGGGAAGCAGAGTTTGTCCAGTATCCTGTTTTCATGATATGTTTGCAACCTCCATGAAAAACAAGTGGCCCCAATTTGTCTGCAGCTGGCCTTTTCTTGGCGACAAGCATCACACAAAACAACAACTAATGAACGGACACTTGACTGATGACTGCCCAACCGTTGCATCATACGACCATTGTCCCTAATTCTACCATTGCAGTCGGCGGGGTCTCCTCATCGGACTCCTCCATCCAAAAGCGCACCTGCGATTGGCACGTGCGCGACACGTAAGCAACTGTCTTTTGGCCCTACCAGCTTTGTAGCATCGGCTTGTATAGAGTTGCAGATTTGTGCGCCCTATTTTCGTGATCTTTCTTACGGCGGCTGCACAATTCCTTCTTGGTAGGAAGCTAAGGGAGTGTTGCTGGTACCGTGGGTGGAAAATCAAAGCCATGAAACGCCAAAAAGCCTTAAAGCCACCAACGCCACAAAAGCAAGGCCAGCAAAAGCCACTTTCCAGAAACGCAACACATCCCCCCACCCAAAAAACAAAACGCCTATATGGTGCTCACTTTAAGCCCAAAATTGGGGAGTCCAACCCTACTGAGGAATCGACACCCTGCTTAAAGAACTTGGACCATGGTTGCCTTCTGATCGACTGACCTTCCACGAAGCCCCCATTTTAAACACAAATCTCAGATGCAAGGAGCCACGCTCGAAGCTCGAACTCGAAATGCCGACAGCTTAAATTTGTAAATCGCCCCAAGTGCCAGCCAATGCGTCTTGTCACTCGAGGCCACTTGAACAGTTGGGTGGAAGACGGCATAATTCCCACCCCATTGCGCGTGTCTGTTTTTTGAGGGTACCTCTTTTTGGTTGGTTTCAAAAGGACACCTTTCAAGAGGAAACCACAAATTTAGAAAAAGGACAAGCCGCCCATTTGGGTTTCGCCATCCGATCCAAAAAAGAGAGGTCGCCATCTTCCAGCCCGGTGCCCGCCCAGCCGCATCCCGGACGATGGCTCAACAAATACTGGAAGGGAACAAAACACCCCAGGCCCCCAATGTGTTTTGTTTTTCTTCGTTGGCTTTCTCTTCCGTTGATTGGGAGGGCTAGGCCCAACTGGGTGGCTCGTCTTGTTTTAGGACCTATGTGCATGTTCAGCGCTCTGAGAACATATGGGGGTGGATCAAAAGGTCCGTAAAACACGGGGTGACCCTTAGGGAAACCAACAACAAATATGATATTTCTCATTAAATGGGAAAAGCTACCCATGGTCATCTGAACGCTCAGGGAGTCAAATCACCTGCTGGTTTTGAAGCTATCTGGCCTAATGATACGCCTCAAGACATGGCTTCACAACCTTTCAAATGGCCACAGAACAATCATACTAACATGGGCTTACACAGGACTGCGATTGGATTGTCGGGGCAAACCCAAAATCAAGGATTCCCTATCACTTGAACTGGAATCATGCGGTTTTAATCTAGGTCTACTAAATACAAATCTTATGCAATTCATATCAGAGTTTGCCCTTTCCACTGAAATGAACAGCCTCCCTTGAAAAGGGCTTCTACACTACCAGGGAGGCTGCTCTTTTATCCCAGAAACGGGGGAAAAGGCAAACCATGATTCATATTCTTCCATTTGCTTAAGCCCCTTGGAAAAAACATCCAGTAGTGATCGATTCCTTTTGAAACCAACAGGGGAACAAACAAAAACATCTTAAACCAATGGAAACATGACTTGCATGGACTGCTTTTTTTCGCGAGGCGGTTCCAAATCACTGCGCCATTCTGCAAACCCGACTTCGCCCGAGCGCCTTGCTGGAGAGCTCAGGGAGCACCAGCGGTGACAAAAACACCTCGCGACACGGCGAAAGCTTCTTCGCTTCGCGTCCAGTTGGCGCGCTTGAGAGCGCTGCCTGGAGATTAAGAAACAGGTCCAGTAGTCATGATTTCAGTTAGGCCCAGTTATAGAATGTATATTTTACTGTTTGCTTCACTTTGAGTCACTGGTAAAATGTAAAATGTATCCTAAGTCTACCCCAGTAGAGATCTAGGTCCTCCAGATTTGAGAGGACAGAATAAGTTGGTACCAACTTTTTGCTGTAGTCTATTTTAGTAGGGGAACCCTCCCCCCAAAAAGGGTAAAAGGGCACTACTGGGGGACCTAGGTGATAGATAACATATTCTCAAGCAAATTGAAGTTCCAAATAGTTGGAGTCTTCGCCAGAGATATGTGGCTGAGACCTCTCTTGTCAAGCCACATCTCTGGCTTAGGTGCCGGGAAAGGGCCCAGGTTCTGGCATCGGACGACGCTGAGATGTCGCAGGTCTGCCACATTTCCTAAATTCGGACGGCGATTTGTAGACTGATCAAGAAGGTCTTTCAAAGGTATCCTGAAGCATTTTCCAACCAGTTCGGGAAATCCTCGATGCTGTCCAATGTCTTCGTGCTCCATGTGAATCAGAGCTCAACGCTTGGACTCAGCTTCTAATAGCCCAATGGTGTCATATTTCAAGGCTGTCGACCGAATCTGGGCTCCGGATGTGACCTACTATATGCACGACTCTGACTGTCTAGGGCACATGTGTTCCTTTTCCGGAAAACCGAAGAAACCCATTTCACAGGAATTATCTTTGTTTTCCAGTGGGGTTCCCCCCCTGCCCTTGTGCCCTGCCTTGGCGAAACTGCCTCCTGTGCTGAGGTGCTTGCAGGCCACCTGGTGCGCCCCCTTGAGACGCTCGAAGAGCTTCCGGCTGTCGTTCAAGCTGGCGAGATGCGCTTCTCTCGCGCGAACTCCGCGCGCGTTTCGCGGCGAGTCTCTGGAAAGTCTTGTCGTGTCGATCCTCTTGGGTCAAACTGCTGGGAATTCGCACATAGGGAGAGATGTCTGGGCAACCCGTTGAAACCAACCTGGGACAAAGCACACAGCCGGTACCAGTTGAGGAGGTATACGAGAATTGCAACACACAAGAATTGCCGTTGCCTTGAAGGGAAGGCATTGCAAACATAGGTGTCCTTTTTGAGAAAATAGATGGGTTTCCCTGGTAGTTGATTGAACCACCAGGAAAACCAGGAATCGCCCTCTATTCTTCAACCACATCAACCAAAAAGGACACCTATGATGGCAAATCCCTTCACCTCTTTTCTCAAGGAAACAGAAGCCATGTACCAGCAAGCACCCCGCAGCGTGGTGCTGTCCTGTTGTGGCCATTGATTCATTGACGCACATGTTGCCCACGTCAGATCCACAAATAAGCAGCATCCCTGGCAACGCCATTCCCAGTGTGGATACCTTTGACAAACCACACCCAAATGCTCCCAAGATCCTCACCGCTGGGCCCTCAGATCTAAGGCACCGGATGACTGGGACTGGGAACCACGACAAATGAATGTCGAAACCAGTAAACCCGGTGCGAGGAGGCGCCCCTGGATTTCTGCTAGGGCCATGGGTCAAAATCCAAATCGTACCCCCAGTGAACATCCCAATCCCCACCAAAATAGGTGGTGCACAAATCCCAAAATGGGATCCCAAAACGGTTTTGACCACCACAGCCTTGTTCCTCAAGTGCGTCCTTGCAACCCTCACGGCCTCCGAAGGCGAAGCGTGGCTTTGCCCGACCAGTCTTCGCCTGGGGACGGTCCTCACTGCAAGGAAATGGAAATGGGCCATACACTGCCATACACCCTATGGAAAGCCGAAAGGGAAACTGTTGAATTTGCCGTGGCCCGGACTTTGTAGCAAGGTGAAACTCCCACATGTCGCAAAACATGCCAAACGGCTAGCCAACAAACGATGGAAAGCCTTTGAAAGTGCTTGGCCCACTGACATGAACGGGTCAGGGACGTTGAACGGTTTCCTTTTTCCCGGGTACGAGTATGTTGTGACAAGGACATGGAAGGACTATGATTCATTGATTGGAACAGCTCGCAAGTTCGATATATCATGAGGCCGCCATGAGAGGGGCACACTCTTCTACTCTTCTACTCTTCATACTGTGAAACACGCTTAACACGTTAAAGCTCAAGGGCTCGAACTTCGGATCTTGTCGCCAACCAACTCCATATGTCACTTCACTTCTTAGGATTCCCTGACGTGTTGAAACACATCAACTTATGGCCGAATGCATCCTTCATCCAGCGCCCGGCACCCAGGCGTGAATCCAAGTATATATATATATATGTATCCAATCCACGAGTTGGCGCTTGGACTGAGATGTCGGGCATCCAAAGGCTTCACATAACTTGTCTCCAGCTCAAGATCCATTGCTGAGGACTCGCGTTTCGAAGGCTCTCACAGAACCTTGAACTAAGAGCATATTTTTTGGTGTGTGTGTGTGTGTGCTGAGTGAGTCTCGCGCTCACAAACAAGCGGCTGCGCCTACAAATCATCTAAGTTTGGACAGGTGTATTCCTATTTGTTCATGCAAAGCATTCACAAGATCGAGCTCTCCCGGCCTCCGAGCGCAATGGCTTTTGCAAAGCCCTTTAGGTAGGTCAAAAACTTTTGCGGCCTGGCAAAAGCAGGATGCGACTCGGCTGGACTCGAACCAAGCTGTACGCAGTGTGGGCACAAAATTAAGGGGATAACTATCAAAGTCTGCCAGGGATACGGCAGCTTGACCAGGGATCCTTGCATTATACACCTGAACATTGCCTTGTAAATGGTGGTGTCCCTTTATTTTGGTGGAAAAAGCCATGTTTCAAATGGGCAAAATGTATCTTTTAAGGAGCCCTGCTGTCACTGACACCAGCATGTTCCTCCAAAGTTGACGGCATGTGGCATCGAATCATGAAGCAGCCCATGAACCTGAACTTCCGGTGAACCTGTCGCTGCCCACATGAAATACTGGATAAACGCAATGCTTCCAAAGGAACCCTTTGGCTGGCATGCGCAACTAGGTCCTCCAGAGAGGATAGAATAAGTTGGTACCAACTTTTTCTGTAGTCAATTTTAGTAGGGGAGCCCTCCCCCCAAAAAAGGGTGAGAAAGGGCACTACTGGGGGACCTAGTTGCCCAGCTTGCAAGAAACACCCGAGTTCAGGGCTCGGCGTCTGCGAGGAGAGAAACACTCGACCAAAGAATCTGCGTGTGGCCCCCGTGGTGTCTCTCATAAACTGCGAAACACGATACAGTCCCACAGTTGCAGTGGACAAAAGAGACGCGAGGGCAATCAGAACAGTTGCGTCAGACAACCAAACACATAATTCGCATGATCCAGTATTGCAAGAGTAGCGTCATGCTTCTCTCTGGCCTGGCATAATGCTGCAGCATGTCACCCACTTGACCAATTGAAGCTTGCCATGATGGTGCCATCCAAAGTGTCGCATGCTGGTAATGCAGGGTCTGCGTGGAACGCTACCCAGGGGTTCCGTTCCAAAAAAGGGGAAATGAACCACGGTTTCCGTCTACGTCTAGTGAAATCGAGGCCAGTGGGGCATAAGGGGCTAAATGAAGAGCCCTGTCCACCTCCTTTGGTTTCCCAGAGAGGGGCAAAGGGCTGCTCAAAGAATGGCTTGCGCCTAAAAAACAAATGCCCTGCCAAAACGTCCAACGGATGCCGCGCCGCTGTTTGAGACAGGCACCGGGACGAACACTTTGATGTGTGAAAGGTAACCAAAAAGCGGCCAACTCATTTGAGACGCGTCACTCCCCCTGCTCGCTAAAAGGAAAAGCCGAAGCCGAACCGCGCGAGTCCGCGAAATCGATCGAGGCCTTTCAAATAGGTCCTCGCTGAGATCGAAGCGCGGGAGTGCCACAGAGACCTGAACACCCGCTGGCAGAGACCACGAATCATGGGGACATATTAAATATGAAAAGCAACAACTGGAGGATCAGTTGAAATATGAAATATGAATTAGATCGGCTGCATGTCAAAAAACATTGGAGATTACCTTAAATGGAGGGGTGCCCACAGACTTTTCGGCTAAAAGTGTCAATTCTTGTGGGTTCAATGGAAACCCAACCACTAAGCCCTGAACAAGAAACGCTGAACACCTAACAAAATGGCCATGCATTTTAATAGGGAACCACCTGAAAAGTGATTGGGGGACATGAATCTCCACCTAAATGATGTCCACTAAAGGGCTCCTTATCAAAATTCATAGCCAAATGGCTATGAAGACTCCTGGTGTAATGATCAAAACCACCTGCGCGAAGTTGGACTGGGTCTCTCGACCATGGCTTCCCCGGAGGAAAAAAACCGCTGCAGGGCGCAAAGGCGGCGTGTGAATGATCCGAGGTCTTCCAGATTTGAGAGGTGGGAATAAGGGTGCCCAATTTGGTTTTCAGTTTTGTCTATCTTTGTAGGGGAACCCTCCCCCAAAAAAAGGTGAGAAAGGGCACTACTGGGAGACCTAGTGATACAATCAGCCATTTCCAGGTCTTCTGGAAGGGGCGAATCAATTTCAGACTCCTGATGGGCATTTCTGGTCTGAGTCTGACTTGTCAAACTACACCCTCGAAATCAAACATCTTGCAATCATGTCAGTCTGACTTTGACTTGTCTGCAAAGACCACCTAAAGCGTTGCGATATGGGCGAATGCGAGTGACTTCGAGTGCCTGCAAAGCACTCGAGTCCGCAAAGAAACTGATTGGCAAAAACGCACAGTGCCTGTGACTGGCCCACCTTTCCAAACATCAGGAATTGCCATCTTATTGGAGCTCGAGATCGAGAAGGTTTCCTGCGCCTAGACCATCATCCACGTGCGCGTATGCGGGAATTCCATGCCGATTCATCATGTCTGTCCTGTCTGCCTTCCCTCCCCCTCCCCCCGGAAAAAGAAAAAACTAAAAACAGACTGTCGACATGTGAATCCCTGTGAGACCAAATCATGCAAGTGCAGGAAATATATGCCGCAAGTCACCTCTGATGCTGGCACCTTACGAGCATGTTGAAACCTATCGAGCTGCCTGCTAGCATCCTTACATCGACTTTCGCCCCATCAACATGGAGACTTACTTGCCCAAAGGGAAGGGAAACCCGAGGCCCTTGGGCCTGAGGCGATTAGATTGGAGCGAAGTTCTTGGAGCTGAGTTTGGAGCGGATGCTTGCATGACATGGTGCTTCTTGCGGCCCGAGGGCACTTTTTAGCCAACCGCGAGGTGTCAAAGTTCAACTTTGCGGGGTGGATTCTGGAGCTTTGGGAGGTTTGCATCTTTTTGTTCTATTGGTTTGTCGTGATTATCACACAAAAGGCACACTTCTAAAGCTCCCACAGCTGTTCTTGAAATCATGTTGTGCTAGTGTGTTCGGGGGCTGCGCTGATGCTTGATTTAAGTTTGAGGGCAATGCCTCGAAGCTTCATGGGCTTTGCACCTTTCTTTTTTCTCGAAGCAGCCGAGTTCCACTTCCGCTGGGCCTTGCCTTCTTTGTGCCCCAGGCTGACTTGAACCCTTTTGCCTAGGCTGCCCGCATTGGGTCTCTGCCTTGGGGGTGTTGTCTGCAGGCTCTCAGCTTTTGGGTTTCAGCACCTGTGATGACTGACAATGCGGAGATCCACATGGCGAGTTGCCAGACTCGACGCTTCTCCGCGCAAGAGGAAGTGAAGTGAAGAAGAAGTGAAGGCTGCGTTGCTGTCTGGTCTAAAGGTGATGGGCTTTTCGGTTTTGCAGGAAGCAAGTCATGCTGAGGGGCTGTGCTCGCGGCATGGCTTGAGAGGTGTTGTCTGCATACACATAAATCCATTTTTCCGAGCTGTTTGGCAGGAGGAGGAGGAGGAGGAGGACGAGGAGGAGGAGGAGGAGGAGGAGGAGGAGGCGGCAGCCGCAGAAATTCGCGTGATCCTGTGTGTCCTGGCTTCTCTGTCTGTGTTGTGTCTCTGCGTGTCTGTTGGCAGCCGCTCCTCAGGCCAAGCTCGCCCAGGCGGGCTTGCGGTAGCATTAAAACAAAAGGGTTTTTACCTTTTGGAACCTTTAAAACAAAGCTAGGCCAACACTGGCAAACCAAAAGGTTAAAAGGTAGGATTTGCAAGTGAGCAAGACCTCCCACTTGATGAAGCTTCGCCAAAGCTGCGCCAGCAACCCTGCAACATCCACAGCTGCGCATGTGCAGAAGCCCATGACATGGGAGGTCTCCAGGCAGAATCCGGTTCAACCCTCTGCATCTCAAAAGTTGTGGACAGGATAGCATGTGTCGAGCAGTATTCACAAAAAAAACCAGGGGTGTCAAGCATTCCAAGAACCTCTTACTTTGAACAACTGCAATCATTCGATCCTAAGATTAAACCCTCGGTTGCCAATTCCCGAAATCATATCTAGATATCAAGCTCCATTGCGGTGTCCGGGCATTCTTGCGTCCGTAGCCTGAGGTTGTTTCGAGGTAATGGGTTCGGAAACCGCCGTCGCTGCCGCTTGGACCCAGAGTTGAAACAAAGCTCTTGTCCTGTAATACTGCCCAAAAGGGGCGCCCTCAAAAAACACTCGCCCAATGCGGCTTGTCCAGCCACTCCACATTCTGAGGAACCGAGCTGCCTTATGCCACATCCTGGTCGAGCGAAGAGCGCTGAAAGCAGAAGGGGCCCACCAAACCCTACCAGTTTCGCAGATTCCATAGGGGTTTCTCAAAAATAGGAATCGGTCCATGTCCTAAATTTGCTCTTCGTTTGTTTTCCTTGCCATACCCACCAATATGTGGGTATGAAATCCATTTTGACAGACACGATCCAGATATGTCCTGGGATGTTGGAACCATCGGTGCAGCTGGTCTTTCAGGCTTCGGTGCACGTGTCCATTGGGTTTGTCTCAAAGGGGTACCCCCTTTTTCTCTGCCATCCCTTACCCCAAAAAGGGTACCCGCAAGAAAGGACACAGCCATGTTTAGTCAGGTTTGGTTGACCTTTAGGTCCTTCCTTAGATCTAGAAACTCGTGTGAACATGTTTCGCCAAAGGTGTAGACCTGGGGGTTGATCAAAAGGTCCTGAAAAACAAGAAGTGATGACCATTGGTTGGAAAAGCACTAAAAAGATGATAGCTCCCACCCAGTGGGACGAGTTACCTATGGTCAAAACTGAGGGCCCTCGACGGAATATTGATCAACCCCCCACCTTTTGCCACCTTCCAATGTCATTGAAGGGTTTACAGGCAAATGCATCAAACACGGTCACCATGGTCGCTTGAAATGCGAACTCGCAACCCAAGAAGGCCGTCCCCTGTTACAGGGAACACCGCCTGCTTCATCAATTCCGTAGATTTGATAGTATACTCTCTGCCATCCCTCACTTGCCAACTGGCCGAAAGAAACCTTGCAAAAAAACACCTTGAAGAACAGCTCTGTTTATCTACCTTGCACAAGCTTTCCGCTTGCATGGGTGCGAGTGGCAGCCAAAACCCGGTGACTGAAATTGGCAAGCACCTCGTCTGCTCAGTATACAGAGAAGACCTGACAAGGTCGATTCATAGCGTGAACTTCAAGCCCAGGTAACCTGTCCGCCTATCTTCGCCTTTGTTCCCTCAAGAGATGACAGTGGACATGTATCGACGGATCCGCAAAAAAAAAAAAACACAAACCTGTGCCGTTCATTAAACGACCCCCTCTTAGGTTCATGGCAACTCTAGGAGTGAGTATTCCTTGAGGCTCCTGACTGTACCCTTCACGGCCCACAGCTCTGCCGCCTTTGCCGATGCTGGGTCAGGTCGTCATACAGCTCCTGACTGCACTCCAAGTAGTGGTGAGTGGAGGAGGGATCCTTGCATCATAGCTGTATGTGTGTGCGTGCGTGTCCACATACGTGTAGAATGCATATGCGATAAAATGCCTTATATGTGAAATACATTGGGTAGATACGAGGAAGGATAGACGGCAGCAGAATGTGTGCGTGTGAGGATTGAGAATGGTATTTTGCCATCAGCAATTTGATCAGGCGCATGCTGCGTGCACTTTACAAAAATAAGTTTGGTATCGAAGAATGCACAACTCCGGGATGCATTGATACATACCAATACATCCCCCTGGATAGGAGGCAGAATAGAAGACTCAAGAAACACTTTTCCCGCAGAATCTGCCACCTTAATTCTTCAATCGCAGGATGTACCGATACATATCGATACATCCCTTTGGCTAGCAACTCTTCCTTGGAATCATTGTTTGGTGGGGGACTACCATGCACATATTATTTACATACCTGTATACATATATATATATATATGTGTGTACAGTACATATATATATATATGTATACACATACATACAGCATACCTACATATCAAACAGTATATACATCTATCTATCGTTCTATCTATCTGTCTGTCCGTCCGTCTATCTGTCTGTAGGTACATAGGTAGGTGTGTAGGTAGGTGGAGAAGTCTGTCTGTCTGTCGGTCCGTCTATCTGTCTGTGCATGCATGCATGCATGCATGCATGCAAGCATGCGTGTATGTATGCATGCATGCATGCATGTATGTATGCATGCATGCATGTATGTATGTATGCATGTATGTTTGTATGCATGCATGTATGTATGACTGTATGTATGTGTGTATGTATGCATGCATGTATGTATGATTGTATGTATGCATTCATGCATGCGTGTATGTATGCATGCATGCATTCATGTATGATTGTATGTATGTGTGTATGCATGCATGCATGATTGTATGTATGTGTGTATGTATGCATGCATGCATGCGTGTATGCATGCATGCATGCATGCATGCATGTATGTATGATTGTATGTATGTGTGTATGTATGCATGCATGCATGGCATGGCATGGCATGGATGTGTGTATGCATGCATGCATGTATGTATGATTGTATGTATGCGTGTATGTATGTATGCATGCATGCATGTATGTATGATTGTATGTATGTGCGTATGTATGCATGCATGCATGGCATGGCATGGCATGGATGTGTGTATGCATGCATGCATGTATGTATGATTGTATGTATGTGTATGTATGTATGCATGCATGCATGTATGTATGATTGTATGTATGTGTGTATGTATGCATGCATGCATGGCATGGCATGGCATGGATGTGTGTATGCATGCATGCATGTATGTATGATTGTATGTATGCGTGTATGTATGTATGCATGCATGCATGTATGTATGATTGTATGTATGTGTGTATGTATGCATGCATGCATGCATGTATGTATGCTTGTATGTATGTGTGTATGTATGCATGCATGCACGCATGCGTGTATGTATGTATGCATGCATGCATGTATGATTGTATGTATGTGTGTATGTATGCATTCATGTATGCGTGTATGTATGCATGCATGCATGCATGTATGATTGTATGTATGTGTGTATGCATGCATGCATGCATGCATGATTGTATGTATGTGTGTATGTATGCATGCATGCATGCGTGTATGTATGCATGCATGCATGTATGATTGTATGCATGTGTGTATGCATGCATGCATGCTTGGCATGGCATGGCATGGATGTGTGTATGTTTGCATGCATGCATGCATGCATGTATGTATGATTGTATGTATGTGTGTATGTATGCATGCATGCATGGCATGGCATGGCATGGATGTGTGTATGCATGCATGCATGTATGTATGATTGTATGTATGCGTGTATGTATGTATGCATGCATGCATGTATGTATGATTGTATGTATGTGTGTATGTATGCATGCATGCATGGCATGGCATGGCATGGATGTGTGTATGCATGCATGCATGTATGTATGATTGTATGTATGCATGCATGCATGCATGCATGGGCATGGCATGGCATGGATGTGTGTATGCATGCATGCATGCATGTATGATTGTATGTATGCGTGTATGTATGTATGATTGTATGTATGTGTGTATGATTGTATGTATGTGTGTATGTATGCATGCATGCATGGCATGGCATGGCATGGATGTGTGTATGCATGCATGCATGTATGTATGATTGTATGTATGCATGCATGCATGCATGGCATGGCATGGCAGGGATGTGTGTATGCATGCATGCATGCATGTATGATGTATGCATGCGTGTATGTATGTATGCGTGTATGTATGTATGCATGTATGTATGCATGTATGCGTGTATGTATGTATGTATGCATGCATGCATGCATGGCATGGCATGGCATGGATGTGTGTATGCATGCATGCATGCATGTATGATTGTATGTATGCGTGTATGTATGTATGATTGTATGTATGTGTGTATGTATGCATGCATGCATGGCATGGCATGGCATGGATGTGTGTATGCATGCATGCATGTATGCATGCGTTGTATGTATGCGTGTATGTATGTATGCATGCATGCATGTATGTATGATTGTATGTATGTGTGTATGTATGCATGCATGCATGGCATGGCATGCATGGATGTGTGTATGCATGCATGCATGCATGTATGTATGTGTGTATGTATGCATGCATGCATGGCATGGCATGGCATGGATGTGTGTATGCATGCATGCATGAATGCATGCATGCATGCATGTATGATTGTATGTATGCGTGTATGTATGTATGCGTGTATGTATGTATGTATGTATGTATGCATGATGGCATGGCATGGCATGGCATGGCATGGCATGGCATGGATGTGTGTATGCATGCATGCATGTATGATTGTATGCATGCGTGTATGTATGTATGCGTGTATGTATGTATGATTGTATGTATGTATGTATGTATGTATGTATGCATGGCATGGCATGGCATGGCATGGCATGGCATGGCATGGCATGGCATGGCATGGCATGGGATGGGTGTGTATGCATGCATGCATGTATGTATGATTGTATGTATGCATGCATGCATGCATGGCATGGCATGGCATGGATGTGTGTTGCATGCATGCATGTATATGATTGTATGTATGCGTGTTGTATGTATGCATGCATGCATGTATGTATGATTGTATGTATGTGTGTATGTATGCATGCATGCATGGCATGGCATGGCATGGATGTGTGTATGCATGCATGCATGTATGTATGTATGTATGTGTGTATGTATGCATGTTGTATGTATGTATGTATGTATGTATGTATGCGTGTATGTATGTATGTATGTATGTATGTATGTATGTATGTATGTATGTATGTATGTATGTATGTATGTATGTATGTATGTATGTATGTATGTATGTATGTATGTATGTATGTATGTATGTATGTATGTATGTATGTATGTATGTATGTATGTATGTATGTATGTATGTATGTATGTATGTATGTATGTATGTATGTATGTATGTATGTATGTATGTATGTATGTATGTATGTATGTATGTATGTATGTATGTATGTATGTATGTATGTATGTATGTATGGGTGTGCCCCATAATCCTTGTTGGTGGCTGCCAGACGGACCAGGCTTGTGGCGCAAAGGCCTCGATCGCTCGCTCTGCAAAGGCTGCCAATTCCGATGCCAAAAGCACGCACACCCGACGCACCGGCACGCACACACACACAAGAACACACAAGAACACACCAGACTCACCACACATACGAGTACGCACACACCAAAAAGGACACATACGCACACGCAACACACAACAAAACAAAGCAATCACACAATATGCACACACATGCACAAGCCCCAAAAGCATCGGCACATGATGGCATGAGCGCCTTGCACTGCTCCCTGGAAGAGGTGCTCAGGAGTCTCGAAACTGAATTCGGCGGCAAACAAAAAGCTTCAAGTAGCTCAAGTCAAGGAATAATTCAGCGTTTCGATCTGACTCAAAGATTGAAAGCTCAAATTCGGTCGGAATAGTTGCTTCATCCGTCTTTGTTGCACCAAACACAGAATCGCGCCATGAAACGAAGGAGGCAATCGTCAGCTTCCGGGGAAGCTCGCTTTCTGCGATTTGTTTGGTGCGTCTCACTACCTGAGCACCGCGCAGTCTGCCACAGTAATGCCATCCTGAGCGCAGCGAATGGCAACGCCGGTCCGACTGCGGGCAAACAATGAGCATATGACGTTGCAGACGCACATTTTGACCGTTTCGATTCCTTACTGTCAAGCTCTCAAGCCGCCTTCCCTTTCTGCTTTTTGTCACAACACCGGCTCCCAAAAGGTAAACGGAAAATGCATCCCAACCTCCAGGCATAGAAGTTGCAAAGTCTGTCGGGAGGGCTCCTGGTACCATCCTTGTGCCTTCACTCGACACTTGCGAGGATGGCCGCCTTGTCGCGGTGCAGTTCCGCTAGTCACCGCGCTGTTGTTTTTGTTTTTTTTTAAGCAGCTGGGCAAGAAAAACGAACGAACTGCCGAGAAAAAAACAACAACTGCCGAGGAAAGAAAAGAGAGGCACCTGCCCAGACACACTTGGCACCCAAGAAAGTGAGGACTTTCCTCTAAGTTTGCCAAGCTTCGCGATGTGCACTTACACTTGCAATCGCTCCGGCGATTGGGTTGCCAGCATGGGAATTTCGACAAACCGCTCAATTGGCTCAAACCCAAGAGAGTGAGAGAGGCAACTGTGAGTATTTGTTTCTACCAATCCAAGTTGGCCACGCTTACACCGGTGGGCACCTATCATAGCAAGAATCAAAGGATTGCAGGATACAATATGTCTTCGCCCGGTCGCCAGAACGGTAACACTTACCCTCACCTGGAAGTGCAAACTGCAAAAGTACCCCCTGCAAAAGACAGCACCTTTCCTTTTGCAAAAAAGACTTGGCGAGGCCGGTCGACATTCCGAGGTAAACCTTTGCGAGCAGCAAGCAGAGCCAGGTGCACAAAGATGTCAGGGCTTGCGGCAGAACCTCCAGGGTGGACACACTGAACAACAGCAACCAAAGAAACGACCCCCCCACCAGCACGGCAAACCATGACAGGTCGGTATTAATGACTTGACTGAGATCCAAACATCATGTTTGGCCAACTAAGTTGAGTAAATCTTGGAAACATGGGCCACGCAGAATGATGGTATCATTCTCCCACAGACCACCGCCACACAGCGAGCAGTGGACAGCCACAAGCGTGCCCGTGCTGAAAGGGCAAGATCGCTATGAACGAAGCAAAATGCTTGCTAGCACAGGAAATGCTCGCCAGATAGTGTGCATGAGCGACGTAGCTTGAACGGTAAATATGTTTTTCCTAAAGGGGTTTAGGGTTTAGGGTCGCTGCTGACTGAAACTTCCCCCGTGGTGCAAAACCATCTCGTAAAGCAGCTCGGTGCAACACATCCTGGATCAAAAGAACAACACCTGCCCAGCCAGAAAGCCCAGCCGATTGTCCTGGGCAAACGCAGAGCACGGTTTGTTGAACCTGGGGGCTTAAAATACCGCGCAAGCTGAGGCAAGCCTTAACATGTGCTGCATATTATGAAACGCACAATGTTCACAATCACCCACACAACGCAGCATCTGCATCAGCATCAGCAGCAGACGTCGGCAATCATCATCATCGTCGTCGTCGTCGTCAACATCATCAACATCATCCTCATCCTCATCATCATCAGCGCCGTCATCAGTATCATCAGCATCATCATCATAATCATCATCATCGTCGTCATCATCGTCATCTGCATCGAAACAGCAAGATCAGGAGAAAGATACGTACATAGAGCCATTGAAAGACGAAGATAAAGACAAAAAGAAAGAGACGATGAAGAGAAAGAGACATGGAAAGAGGAAGACAGAAATATTTCCTTGAAAGAGGAAGGCAGAGAGAAATAAACGCAAGGAATAGGAAAACAGAAAACAAGAAGAAGAGGAAAGGAAGATAAAGAGCAAGAGAAATACATAGAAATAGGAAGAACACGAGACTGATAAAAAGGCATGGAAATAGGAAGATACAGAAGAAACAAAACATAGAAAGAGGACTCTAAAGAACAACATCAAGAGACATAGACAGAGGAAGATCAAGATCAAGAGAAATCCGCCGACATTGTTCCGCGTGTCGGATACCTAAGAGAGGACTATTGGATACCTAAGAGAGGATAGAGGATAACCCCCCCCTTAGTCCCCCCCCGGGACACGTCAAATACGCATGGTTTTTCGGTCGCCCCCCCCCCCTCCCCGCGTACCGCGCGGCAATTTGATGAAACGTAGTCTTCGGGGAGCGGGTCTGGAGAAACGGGGGTCCCAGGCTCGAATCCTCCCGCCGCCTCTTTCTGCCGGCTGAGGTTTTGTGCTGCCTTTTGCGGAAAACTTTGAGACACACGGTGTTCGGTGTTTTTCCTTTGCTGACACCATTGAAAAAAACATTGTGTTTTCCGATTTCCTTGACAATTGGCACCAATTTCCCCCCAATTTCCCCTAATTTCCCCCAATGCTTCCCCGCAAATTGCGCCTTACTTTCTCACCAATTCCCTCCCACTTTCCTTTCAATTTCCATCCGACTTCCCCCCAATTTCCCCCCCAGTTTCCCCCAAATGTCCTGGCAAATTCCCCAACCCCAGCTTCCTTCCAAGTGTCGCCCCCAATGTCCTTCGTGTCGGATACTTGGCCGCAGTTCCGCTCCGCAGTTCCAAGTGTCCCCCACATTTCCGCTCCGCAGTTCCCCCTTAAAAATCAGCTCCACTGCTGTTCAGTCCCTCAAAAAAGGCGGGTCTTCCATTTGCAGAACGTCCCCCGAAAAGACTACACATTTTTACACTACTGCCACAGGATAACAACACATAGGAAGCAAGTGAAGTAATTGATGACATCATGATACCACCTTCGAAATCCGAGAACTTTTCCTGTATCCAACTGGTCAGCACTGAAACTGCAATTCCACATTTCCGCTCCCAGACTTGCCATGCTAAGCCACGCTTCTCGCAAGCAAGAATGCCATACAAGGGGCAACCTCAACACCCCTCAGAAATCAGCTTATCCGCGCACCCCGCCAAAATGACATGCAGTGGCCATGACATACCACCCAACACTAAGGTGCCCTAAGCATACTAGGGGGACACGGGCGAGAGGAAGAAGGAGACAAGCTAGATGCCAATGTCGGCGGACTGAGCCGGAGGCTCTAAAGTAACATATACATAGAAAGAGGAAGATCAACAGAAATAGTCACAGAGAGAGAGAGAGAGAGATAAAACAACAACAAAGAAAAGCAGCGCTTAAAAAAGACAAGTATGTGGTTCATGTCTTTGAATCTTGCGGCCCCGGCTATACTGTCATCAATTCTTTACAGCATGTGTGCAACTGTACCCTCCTTCCAAAACCCTCCTTCAGCTTGCATCATTGGAAGGGTGTGAAACTGTTTTCATACAAGTGATATCTAACCAAGTGCAAGCTGCTGGCTCCACGGAAAACCACTCCAGACTCACCCCTAACGAGGGCCGTTCCTGCGGTATTTTCGGCTTCAACCAAAGGCACTCGCTCCCGAACGGAGCGGCTTTGATCCCAGCCCCATCGCCTGTAGAGCCCATCAGGGCACCAATGATCAGAGAGTCCTGTTTGGACAAACGGATCTCGAGCCAGCCGAACAAGACTCGCGGCTCTGAATTGGTTCTCTGACAAGCTAAGTGACCAAACAGATGGTCTCAGCTGATTTAAAAGAGATCTGGAATTCTGGAGTGGATATCTTGAAGGCTGCCTGACATGATTGAGCATTCACGCAACTTGCTGGCTGTGTTGTCTTGAGCCGGCCGGCCCATCGAGCAGTCGAATCAGCCTGGAACAGCCAGCAACCAGCTCTGGCACAGATCAAGTTTGCTCAAAGTCTAGGCTTGAACTCGTTGCATCCAGTTGAGCGGAGTAAGTACTAAGGCAAGGCCGCACATCCGCCTTGTAAATCATCCGTGGTATGATTCCAGGTTCCAAAGTTCCAAAAGGGAGGAGACTGACCTTCATTGACTACTAAGGTAGTGCCCGGAGAATCAAATCAAGATAAAGCAGAGATGGAAGTCTACAATCCTGGTTGAAAGTGCGCTTCACTAGATCATTGGGTTCTAGTCTACCTGTGGTATCTTGGGGCGCCGTTTTGCAGACAGCAATATGCCTTCATATGATGGATCATGCAGGCATGTGTCAAATTTGCTGGGGGCATGTAACCACAAAGAGTCCCCAAATGGACACAGCCTTTGCGCCATTGCCAAACACCGAAACAAACGCATGGGGTGAGGCTGGTCATGACTCTGCCCAAAATAGACGGTATAAAGTACAAGCCAAAACTTGCTGGTGCTCAGTCGGGGAATGAACCCTTAAAGGAAACCACAAGGGAAGGTTTATAAGGGCAATTCCCTCATGCCCTGCCTATCGCACCAGCAGGAAAATATATACTTCAGGAAGCGTGACCAAGGCTTCCCGCGATTCCCATCTGGCCCAGGTACCCCGCGGGGTCTGCAACCAGAATGCCTACAGCCGCCCTGGATTCTCAGTAGTGTTGACCAACATAATGAGCCAAAGCCTATCTAGTCATTGACATGATACCTGATAACAACGATGTATATGTATATATATACTTGCATACAATCATATGTATATATATATTAAATTATATGTACCTGCGCGCCCAATTGCTTAAATGTGTATGATGCTGCAGTATGCCATGCACATGTGTACACGTGCGTACGTAGACACAAACGCGCATACTGCAGGAACCCCATTCGACAGACCTTGCAGAGCTCGTAGATGAGACGATGCTCGATGGGGCACCTGAGGCCTGCGATCGCACCCAGGCACCCAGGGCATGGTTTCCGGGAAGTGCGCGGGTCCAAGTCCAATGGATTGTCCTAGACAGGCGCAGGGTTCCACTTTTTCAGCTCAACGCAGGGGTTCCTTTGCTGGGGGTCATGAACCAATCCTGGGTTTAAGTCTATCTTGGGGTCAAAAAAAATGGAACACGGGGCATGCCCCAGCATGACAGGCCCCCCCCCGAAAAAAAGAGACGGGACCCTTAGAGGATGCCTCCCCCCCGAGTTCGTTGACTTCGAGATGGGATCTCACGGCCTTCACAAACCTTGGGGACCTGGATCTCACGACACCATGGCTCACTCGTTTTGCGCCAGATGGGTACCCGAAATCTCGGGTACCCTTCAGACGGCAGCAGGAAAACCCTTCGACGGAAATCGGGGTCCTCGAAAATGATCGAAACCCGTGCACGTTGATGCGTTATGGGTACATGTGCGGTCACTGCAAGCAATAGAAATCCTGAAGGGGATAGGATGCGGACCTCAAAAGTGTGCAGACCAAATGCGAACTCAAGGCTTTCCCAGAGCTCAGTTTGTCTTCACCTGTCAGAGTTCTTCGAGGGACAATATTGGAATGCGTGCCTTTGGAGACCACTCCGGGTGTGAGTGGAGGCTTTCTGGGGGAAGTTCTCAGGCTCCCTCAGGCTCCCTCTTAGAATGGATTTTGAGGATCCTGAGAACCTTCATGGTGGGTGGGCCTCTGGTTCTGGTTATTCTCTAGAGGTCCCTGTCTTTTGATTGCCATAATAAAAAAAAGGGCCCCCTCCCCCCAGGAACCAAAAAGAAACACAGACCAAACACACCCACAGCCCGAGTGCGACCGATACCCGTCGACCGGATCTCTGAGACGAGGCCCCGGGCCATGAAGCGCCTCCTCCCCGTTCTGCGCCGCGAAGACGCTCACGGGCTGCCCATCCTCGAGCCCCGCGCGTTCCGATCCGCGGGGTTTCGACGTTTCGACGACCCGCGGGGTGCGCATGGCGCGGATGGAACGGCGCCGTAAAGGTCGCTTGCGCCTTTTCGACCCGCGATGCCTTGGGAGTTCTGTTTTTTTCCGGCTTTGAGCCGCGGATAAGCTCGAAAAAGAGCTGAGAAACGGCAAGGGAGCCATGGAGAAAGATGTTTTGCATGGACCCCCTTGCCATTCTTCCACCCCATGTCATACATAAAACCAAATTTGACCTTGCCATTGCCATTCTTCGGCCCTAATTACCTCTTTCCCCAAGTCCGGCAAGCCAAAGGACCATTTGGACGTGGTCTAAGGAAAAGTCTGGGCACCTCTGACCGCCAAGTCGTGGCGACAATAGGGGGATGGAGTCGAAAGCGGGTTGCCCCACTTTGAATTTGGCATGTGGGGCAAGCGAGAATCCACCAAACCCAACTGCTTGCCCAGTGTTCTGAGCATGTTGCGTGAGGTTTGCGGAACCCAAGCATATTGGTCATTGCTCATATTCCCCTTCTGAGAGACAGTGGGATATCAAGCCAGGACCGTGATTCCCTGACATGGAACTCAAGTTAGCGCATGAAAACGCGTAGATCATCTTATGCGACATACCTTTGTAAAGAACAGTTGCTTCCGAAATATTGTGCGCAAAAGTAGGTTGCCAAGGTAAAGGTTGCAAATTATTCAGTACCTACGCACTTCTTCCTTCTTCAGCTCCGGCTTGAAAGTTCATCAACATTTCGGTAGGTCGCTGCTGGCAGCTGCACCTTGAGAGACAGCGTCGAGCTGAGCACAAAAGTTGCCAAGGGTAGTGTGACCGGGACGAAAAAACACCTCTGAAAGGAGCTGGGCCCCCAAGAAACACTAAGATTCGCAGCGACCACAAAAGGATGGGTGAAATTTCATATTTCACCAACCTGAATTAAGGTGTTTGGGGGCTATTCCCACGCAAACCACCATTTGGGGTGAGGTCGTGTGAGGTCGTTATAATTCACCCAGAAGGATTGCTCAGCAAAGACACTCTGCTTACGTCACCGACGAAGAATCGCAAGAATTATTACAGCATTTCGCCAAGCAAAATCCATTCGCAACTCCATTGCAAATGTTGCTCTGAGGTGCTTCAACCAACACCAAGCGTCCCCAGAATCAATCTCCTTAGGATCTGTTGATCGGTCGAGCAGGTTGCTGATCGAATGTAAGGCTTTGTGACCTTGACTAAAGATAGACTGAAGGTGGAACACCAAAAGGTCAAAAAGTCGGGTTTGGACAACTATGGCAATTAACAGGTCCAATTCGGACATTGATTTGTCTATTCGTTTGCTACTCATTATCTGGCTTGATGCACAAACACCTGCGCTTACTGGCACCGGAGTTTTTCAGGGCACTTCATATATTGATATTTGCTGCAAGCCCAAACCGGCACTGCGATCATTGCCACAGTTGGCCTGGCTTCCGCATTTGTTCTCTGTTTGCCCTTTGCATAGTTTCAGCCTTGACTCTTTGGTACTGAGAAGTTCATGTGGACACCTGGTTCATGAGTCTGCAGTGCATTTAATTGGGTGTGGGTCAAAATTAGCTACCCAAAATGGAACCTTGTAAATGAAAACAAGGACTGAAACCTGCGGTCCCCTGATGGTTTAATTTTGACCCATACCCAATTTGATAATTGGCCATGGGTCAAAATCCAAATTGTACCCCCAGTGAACATCCCATTCCCACTAAAATGGGTTCTAAAATGGGTGGCGAATTCACCTACCAACCAAAATGGGACCCCCAAACGGCTTTGACCACCACAGCCACATGAGGCTTGAGCTGAGCCCCCTCGCGTTCTCATGCTGCTTGATGACAGTGCGGATGACCTGAGCGTTGCACACGTTCGAGCTGGACTGGGCCCTCCAGTGAAGAGCTTAGAATAAGTTGGTACCCACTTTTTTCAGTTTTTCCTATTTTAGTAGGGGAACCCTCCCAACCAAAGAAGTTGGTACAAGGGCACTGGGGGACCTAGATCCGCAAACCCGAGTCGAATGCTGCGTTAAACCGTTAGATAACTAGGCAGGCAGCGTAGCAGAACAGCATTAAGACCCTGTTTTGACACATTGTGCTGTGTTGCGAAATGTGTTAAGAGTTTCATGTTGCAATGCACCAGAAATAGACCTCCCTGGGGTTCCAAAGGCGGTTTATTTTGCATGTGTTCTGTGAAAGGCGGTTTTTTGCCAGGAGCAGTTTTGTCCAAGCTCAGCTGATATCATTGAACAATTCGGGGGCCGCACGTGCTCAGGACCAAAGGTTGCAAAGACTTGACCTCCGTTCCCACAAAACAAGCAGAGGGATTACCAAAGGACAGGCTGAAACACATAGATTCACCGGTGTCAAAATTCACGGCAGAAAACGTGCTTGCACGCTGGAAAACAGGCTGTCACGCCAATTTCACTGTATTTTCACGCTGATTTCACGCTACATGTGCGTACATCACGGACCGCTATGTTCACACCAAAATTGTTGTGTCAAAGACATCCGGCCACCGATCCCCTGTCAAGGCAAATGATACCAGCGTTCATCCCTTGGCCCCGTTGCCACCGGTACCACTGGTGTACAAGCGGAGGAACTCAGGGAAAGAAGCTTTGGAAACAGAACCATGGGAATCTATGGGGTCCTGAGTTAAATGGCAACATGCTTGTGGCTGGGTCGCTGAGATTGGAACTGCCCCCAATTTATTGTTTCTGGGTGTTTCTGCTTCTCAAAGCGATCCTTTCAGATGCGTGGCTTCCTTTTGGCTTCCTACCATCATTTTGATTTAAACAGACTTCCGCACCGCTGTTTTCAGAACCACAACCTGCTTCCTCCAAATCACCTGGCAGACCTGACGTTCTTTGAGCCGAGATGTGTCCTTTGCCACGCGATTCAGCTATTTCGAGAACCACCCCTTAAAGCTAGGTCCTCCAGTAGAGACGTTAGAATAAGGGTACCCTTTGTTCTGTAGTCTATTTTAGTGGGGGAACCCTCCCACTAAAAAGGGTAAAAGGGCACTACTGGGGGACCTAGAAAGTCTTTGTGAGTCACAATCCAAACCCGGTAAAGAATTCAAAAGGCCGGATCTCCGCACGCATTTATGGCGGAAATTCCCCCTTACCCTGCAACCCGGGTTTGGATTGTGACTCAGGTGGCCGGTCGAGCTATTTCCCTCTGAGAGCTCCTCTATCTTGGTTGCTGTTGACCCGAGGCAGAAAGTGTTTATTACTTTTGGGGTGTTTACTAGAAAACACAACTGGATTTCAACCTAAAAAGTTAAAGTTTCTACAGATCCGTTGCCCAGTCAGCTATGGGCTCGGCGCTGAGACACTCGATGTGCAGCACCTCAAAGTCGCAGCGCAAAATGGCGCACTTGATGCTGCAGATCGCCTGGCAAAGGCCGCCGATCGGAACACCTGGCTGGAGTCTCCATGACCCATAAAAACTGAGCCATTACCCAAAATTAAGAAGGTCATGAGCCCATGTTTTAAGGGTCATGAAGACTCTAGGTACGTTTCTTTGTTTGGGATGTGGCGAATCTGTGCATTGATTTCTGTTGAACCTTAAAAGAGAGTATTTAAAGACTACTGAAGAAGGGTGTAACAGGGTGAGGAACAGGTGGAATCCACAAAAAAAGCGCATCCAAAACCCGTTTCCTGGCAAACATGCCTTCAGGTCAGAGACGGACACCAGGTCTATAGATCCTTGAGAACATCTGGATCAAGCTATCAAGGCCCCTCCCCTCTGCGGTATCGCCTGCGAAATGCCCGGATCGCTCGCACATTGAAATGATCAGAGCCTGGATCCTCCAGTAGAGAGGAAGAATAAGTTGGTACCAACATTTTTCAGGACGTCCATTTTAGTAGGGGAACCCTCCCCCAACAAAGGGTGAGAAAGGGCACTACTGGGGGACCTAGGAGCTGAGGGATGTTCGGGGACACTTCGACATGAAGCAAAGCCTTCCAGGAATTCTTAGATTGGAGGTGGGCATCGTGGCCGATGACCTTCTTCATGGCTAGGGGAACTCTAGGTCGCCGACAAATGCCGGCAAACGCGACACCTGTTCTGAGAACCTTGTTTCCCGAAGTTGGAGAAGGAAGCCTTTGCCTGTCACGAAGATCAGACGGGCTCAATGAAATTCACCTGGTGATTGAACATGCAAACACATGCATGCCGCTGTCGGGCGAGCATTTCCGAGTCTTCTGATTGTTTGGTCAAAGCAGTTGACCACATATTCAGTGGCGATGCTTGGTATGTGTTCTATCAAGCAGCAAGATATGTCGCCAATCATTCCACTCGAAGCAAACAAACGACCCCGCGCATTTCCAGACACACTTCAATAAAGCTTCACAAAGGGTGCGTGCACCAGGCTGTACACACTCTCCTGATCCATCATGAGGTCCACCCCTCGTCCCAAACAAGCCTTGTGTCAATGCGACGTGTGTTTGAAAGATGTTTTCTTGGTAGCGACGCCTCCGAAGCGCTGTTTCAGGGTCGATGCGGCTCAGTTTAATTCATGCGCAACCCTGTAAAAGCGACTCTGCTCTACCCTCGGAAAACTATCCGTGGCAAATCATCTTGTGCTCTTTGATTTGGCTCTTACCTCCCAACCACTTGAGTGGATTGACAAACTGCTCACATGATATCATCTTTCGAACAGTAGCCTCAAAACGTGACAACGCAATTTACCGCAACAGACACCCCAAACAAATCAGGACAACCCACGGCCTCCGCGCCCTTCACCCCCTGAGCATGCTGACAAAGAAATGGGCAGCGAAAGTTTCCGGCGAAGGGTGATGTGTGGGGGAGTTCCTGTATGACTGTATGGACCTCACTCAACTAGTTGTGGATGTTGTATGATGTCGGATAAAGGACCCATGCTCAAGCACAATAGTCAGCTCACAGATCTGAAGCTGGTTTGGTTCTCCCTAACCACTTCGATATGTGGAAAGGACAAAGGCTTTGGCTAGCGGCTACTTGAGACTTGCACGCCCCCAGTTCTGCCAAGAACTGGCCTCTCCCGAGCTCCAACTAATGCCGACTGGAAACCCTCTGCTAGTTTGAGCACTACTTCTAACAAAATGCACTGCAACGCATGTTTTGCCATTTCAGCTACATAGTCATGTTCTTTCCGTTCACAGGACGCAAGTAGTCTACATCGCTCAGAATGGTAGAGAGAGTCATGCACTTGTCGCAATCTCAAGCTAAAAGCATCATATTGTCTCCAGCTAGAAGGGTCCTGATGAAAATTCTGGGGCCACTGGGGCCCCCAAGAACGATGCAACTCGCGGTGTATCGGGACCTTCGGGGCTGAATCCCCCAGCCTTACGCGGCAACTGTCCCATGGGCGTAGGGCACTGAGATCTGAGATCCCGATACATTGACTTCAACCGTGCTCAGGATAGGGCCAAACTGATCTGAACAACTTACCGAAACAAAGGTGACGTCTGTGATTCCAAACGTGCAGTGACCTAGCTGAGCAAAAATAATTTGTTGACCAACGTCTCTAAAATTGGTCTCTTTGGGCGATGTTGGTAGTTGCTGGATGGTTCTGCTAGGAATCGCCAGCCTTTCAACTCTGCCCATGAACTGATCATGTCCCGGTGGGCGCGGGGCATCCTTCAATCTCGGCCGGAGTGCTTTTAGAAACCTAGCACCTCGGCTCACTGGAATTGAGAACTGGCCAAACAATGCGTTTGCCAATTCCGAGTTGTTCTTTGTCCCGCTTTGCTTAGGCTTGAAGCCGTGCTCGTCATGAAAGCAAGGATGGGGCTAACTTCCAATGAGTTCCAGGCAAGAGGTGTTCCAGCTCCGTGCAATGGTAGGTTCAGCTCACATCTCCCAGTTGTCTCGCTTGGAAACTCCGCTCACACCTCTAACACCGCGTGAGGAAACCACAAGGGCGTGTGCTATTCCGAGGGTACCCTTTTTGGGCTGGTTTAAGGGGACATCAAAAGGAACATAATCTTGTCTGCTGTGAACCCCTCTCCAAAAAGTTTAACTTGTTGTGGGTTCAGTGGAAAAGCCTTGATTTCCCAAAAAGGTAAAGGCTAAGAAGATTCAATCCAATAACAATCAAGTTCTCCGCTATTTCGACACCTATCAAGCGGCGCAGAGCGCAAACCTGCCTGATTCCGGTGCTCGTGCCGCTTCAAGGAAATGCCCAGCATCTGAAGCTTCTTCCTCGGATTGCGCGGCTTGCCCACCTTTGATCCCATTCCAGGTGGCTGCAGACCAACAAAAGGCCCCCCGTTTTTGCTGGCTTGTCTGGGGTGCCCAAACATGACCACACACACACACGCACACGCACACGCACACCCACACGCACACGCACCACACACACACACACTCACACACACACAGACACACACAGACACACACAGACACACACAGACACACACAGACACACAGACACACACACAGACACACACACAGACACACACACACACACACACACACACACACCCACCCACGCACGCACGCACGCACGCACGCACGCACGCACGCACGCACGCACGCACGCACGCACGCACGCACGCACGCGCACGCACGCACGCACGCACGCACGCACGCACGCACGCACGCACGCACGCACGCACGCACGCACGCACGCACACACACACACACACACACACACACACACACACACACACACACACACACACACACACACACACACACACACACACACACACACACACACACACACACACACACACACACACACACACACACACACACACACACACACACACACACACACACACACACACACACACACACACACACACACACACACACACACACACACACACACACGCACACACACACACACACACACGCCGTTTTCCCTGGCCTGGCGAGATGTAGCACTCAGGAGTTGGAGCCGGCTAGATGTCTGGAGCTTTTGCTCGCAGTACAAAACCAGACGCCGAGCTTGAAAGCAGCTTTGGCTATGTCCACGGCCCGCGATGCACGATAGGTTCGGTACAGTCATGGTGGTTCTGGCAAGTGGGCAGCGCTTTTGAGGGATGACCGCTCACATGTTTTACATGTTGCCTAGGCAATTGACTGACAGAGCCACAACCACGTGACGTGCATAGGCATTTCGCGGAGGCTTGTGTTGAAAAGGCCTCGCGTAGGCAGTCGCGGCGAGGATTTGATAGGTTGACATGTCACGCGTAAATGATGTGACGCGTTGTTGTGGGGATGGTCTGACGGCTTGCGAAGCCCTGCGTGTTCGACACATACGCCTTTTCCCAAATTCATTAACGTCAGGCAGATTTCGCGTAGGCTTTGCGTAGATATGACGTCTAAGATCCAACCGCGGGGGCCGTCCGGGCTCATCCTTGCTTTGTAGGCCCGCCCGCTTCTAGATCTGGAGATGCCAAAGTGTACGTCGTTGAGTCCTGTTGTCGTGTGGTTGTGCATTTGTGTGTCTAGTCAGCTTGGTCTCGCATAGGCGTCTTTGCGGGAGTGGTCGCTTTGAGGCCCCTCCAGGCCAGATGCAAGACCACGGTTTCCAATGGCCGCCCCGCCACAAAACACCATCCATTCACGCAGAATTTCGGTGGGATGTCTGTGCATAAAGCACAGAACAACGATAAACACGGGAATGCAGATTAAGCACAGGCTCGAACATGTGCAAAACAACACCCGTGTCAAGCAATGTCTTCCGGCCGGCCGCAAGCTGTCCCTGATTCCCGACGGCGGCGCTGGTTCGCGCAATCTGAGCAGTTTCAACTGCGCAAAATGTATCTTTTAAGGAGCCCTGTGTCAGAGGCTACTAAAACTACTGCCTCCCATGGGATGCCAGGCGCCCGCGCTCATCTAGTAAGGACGGCCGACCAGAGCTGGTGACATCAATAGAGTGCCTCGAAAGCGCAAGGGACCTTCATGCGTGTGAGGAGCGTCCTGTACCACATGAGGGGTTCTGTTGTTGTTGAGAATACTCCGTTCAAGTTGCTTTGACCCAAGCAGGAAACAAGGGGTTCCGGGTTCCCCGATATTTTGGCACAAACCCAGATGCATCACTTTACTCCGCCCCATGGCCATGGCTAAACGCCTATGGTCTACGGCTTACATATGCTCAACAAGCACCAATGGGCGACGTTATTTCTGTGAAGTCTCCACGTAGCAACGTGTCCCATGTAGCAACACCCAAAAAGATGACTGGTCAAGAAACGAACAAACGGGCGAATCGTCGATGTTGGAATGATTTCGGCGAAAAAGCCAAAGGAACCTCTACCGCTGTGGCAAAAAAAACAAGAGCCGGGAGTGATCAGCTCTGCACTGGGCGGAAACCTGTTTGTCAGGTTGATCCAGTTTGTGTGATTTTTGGGGCATACAATTGAGTGAACTCGCTCATGCTCTTGACCCGCTCAAGGTCTTGCTCATGCCCCACCTGCTGATAGAAGAGTCTGGCACAACAAAGGGTGTCAACGTATTCGGGCCGGCCCCAATGTACTTGGCCTCTACCAAAGAACGGAGCACATGCACTCACCATGCCAGTGTTTACAACTACAATTTGGGCTGCATGCTCTCACGGGCATGTCCTCCTTATATTCCAGATACAAGCTGCCCTCCACCCACATCCCCCGGCCACCCATATGACCCTCTTCTTACTACATACTGGGATTTGAGGGATGGTGTCTGCCAAATTTTCCCCTCTCAGCCTCCATGGTTCCACATGGCACCCTAGGCCGCAAGTAGAGAGCAAGGGAAACCCAAAATTCCCACAGAAAAACCGCCAACCAGCTTTTTTGCTTCTCCCTCGCTTGAATCAACCCACCCGCCCGACCAAGACGCCCCAAACGGCGACTTGTGGCGCCTCCGGGGGGCCTGGCTGCCCTCACGCTTCTTCCAGTAGAGTTCCATCAAAGCCGTGGGCACCTGGCAGGACTGAAAAAGAATGAAGCACTCGTGACCCGTTTTTTGTGGGTTTTGAAGGGAAGCCAAACCCATATGGGCATGTTTGAAGCGATCCATGTTGCCTTGGTGATGTCTTACAGGGAACAAGAACACCTCATGCGGCAACTTGCCCAAGTTGACCGCTCGTTGCACATCCCCACGAAAAAGCAACAACAACTATAGTACAAGTATTATGCAGGGCGAAGCCCTGTTTGGGAATGGTGCTTTGTGTGTGTGTGTGTGGGTGTGTGGGTGTGTGCGCGCGTGCTTGCGTGCGTGCGTGCGTGCGTGCGTGCGTGCGTGCGTGCGTGCGTGCGTGCGTGCGTGCGTGCGTGCGTGCGTGCGTGCGTGCGTGCGTGCGTGCGTGGCGTGCGTGCGTGCGTGCGTGCGTGCGTGCGTGCGTGCGTGCGTGCGT